GAGGTCAGCAGGCGGCCAAGTCCTCCCTCGGCGAGTGCTGCACGGTCATCCACAACCCCGACGTGCAGCCGATCGTGCCCGTGCTCATCTCGGCGAACGCGAACCCCAAGGAGAACGTCACGGCGCTGGACCGCCTCATGGGCACGACGTTCGTGTCCCAGGTCGACCGCCCGACGCTGGCCATCATTGTTCCCGTCCTCGGCCGCGGCCTCCGCGACCGCGACGTGCAGATGAAGCGCAAGTGCTGCGTCGTCGTCGACAACATGTGCAAACTCGTCTGCGACGCCAAGGACGTCGAGCCCTTCATCGACAAGCTCCTGCCCGAGCTCAAGCGCGTCGAGGAGGAGGTGCCCATCCCGGAGATCCGCGCGTACGGCGCGAAGGCCAAGGCGACGCTCGTCAAGGCCATCAAGGACGGCGGCGGCAAGGTCCCCGCCGAGTTCGAGTAGGCGCAAGCTCCCATTGCGCCCGACCATAAAGCACTTTCACATTCTCGATCGAGAGGCTTCTGAACTCGCGAGCCCGGCCGTCTCGGTGGCCGCGCGGCGACAGGTGGCGATTGCCGGTTTCGCGCCGCGAACGGCGCCCGCGATTTCGCGCTCGCGCGACACCAGGTGGAGCGGTGGCAGCTCGCACTGTCGTCGTCGACGTGCGCGGCACCCGGGACATAAAATACATCAACATCAACATCAAGTTTCGCGGCGGGCGAGCCGCCTAAATTTGAAGGTGACGCAGCCCCCATCCGAGATTCCATCGCTCGTCCGCTCGACCGCCGCCCGCGGTACAAACCAGACACAGTCCTTCGCCGCAGTCCCAGCAATGGCCGCCTTCGAGCCCCTCGTCGCGCTCTACGCCAAGGCCACGTCCGAGGCCGAGAGCGATGCCCGCAAGAGCGCCGCCACCGAGCTCGCCGAGGCCATCAAGGGCCAGGGCGTTGCGACCATCATGTCCATGGCGTTGCCCGCCAAGGTCATGGCCTCCCTCGGCGAGGCGAAGAACGTCGCGGCCCGCGAGGGCGCCGTCTTCGTCGTCCACGAGCTGCACAAGGCGCTCGGCCTCCACGCGGAGCCCTACTTCATGCTCGTCCTCCCGGCGCTCGTCGAGCGGTACGACGACAAGGTCAAGGGCGTCGCGGCGGCGGTCGACGCGTGCCTCATGGCGTTCTTCCAGGCGGTGAACCCCTACGCGGCGGCGACGCTCCTGCCCCACCTCTTCACGGGCATGTCGACGATCTCGTGGAAGACGAAGGTCGGGTGCCTCAAGCTCCTCGGCGCGCTCGCGCACACGGCGCCGACCCAGGTCGGCCAGCTCCTCCCCGAGATCGTGCCCAAGGTCACGGAGAACATGTGGGACACGAAGCCCGAGGTCAAGCAGGCGGCCAAGTCCTCCCTCGGCGAGTGCTGCACGGTCATCCACAACCCCGACGTGCAGCCGATCGTGCCCGTGCTCATCTCGGCGAACGCGAACCCCAAGGAGAACGTCACGGCGCTGGACCGCCTCATGGGCACGACGTTCGTGTCCCAGGTCGACCGCCCGACGCTGGCCATCATTGTTCCCGTCCTCGGCCGCGGCCTCCGCGACCGCGACGTGCAGATGAAGCGCAAGTGCTGCGTCTTCGTCGACACCATGTGCAAACTCGTCTGCGACGCCAA